AGTGAACCGAAATTCAGCACAGGGCCAACAAAATGTGACGAATGTTGTTATATCCACTCACAGAGTAGGTACGCAAACCCAGTATCACAGCTAAGGGGTCGTTTTCGATGTATGCAGTTAAAAAATATATTCTTCATTTGTAGGTGTCATTCGTTAATTTAGCGTGTCTCTATAACAACAATCCCGGTTGACAGTTCTAATGCCGGTATCCTTGAAAACATAGGTAGGAAAGCCCCCGGCACCGATAGCTCAGGATGAACAAACAGGCAGATGCTAGCGGCTCCACCCTCAAAAACCACCGCATTCGTTGGATGCAGTATTCCAAATGCCAAGACTGTTTGCCATGATGACTTCTGTAGTGAACGAGTGACTCAATAAGCTTGGCTTTATTCAGGAAAATTATGCGAAATTTCTGGTTCGTCTTATAGGCTTTGTGGTCGAAATCAATGTTCACTGAGTATTGGATGGAAAATTTATAAATTTCAGTTCCCTTTCGATTATTTCGGAAACTACCAACTGTTGATTTATTAATTATAAAAATTGTGACTAATCAATGAAGGCAGCAACCGGCGACCCATAGTATTACTTTTATGTTAAGTTTGCGCAGTAAATTCCAGTTAAAGTGCAGCCCTTAGCAATTAACTCGAGAGCTGTTGCTCAACGATTTATAATTTTTTCTGCTATCCGTGTCCACATCAAACCCCCTTTTTGTGCAACGGAAACGCTGTTATTGGATTCTTCAGCTGTTAGGAAAATTGTCGCCGCCTCCTGTTTAACTTACAATTTAATCAACCTTTCTAACTAGTCCAATGGATAATCACCCCGCTCGTTACATCGGCGGCTAAGTCATTCACTTCCCTAAATTTGGCACCTACTCTTGCCCTGGTTGTATATCCTGATCGCCTGACGCTCAATTCCAAAACGAGACACGATTCTTACCACTAATGGTAATCGTTTGCATCGCTATCCAAAGGTACTGCATACATGCCGAGCAGGAGCACGATAATAATGTTTTGTTATATCCTCATAATTCATCGCCAAACTCAACCGGTCCTTGGTTGTTAAGTCAGCCAACAAAATCCACCCTTCCCCAGGTTCACTCAGCTTGCTGTCATCCTCTTTAGATTTTTCTCCATTGATCACCGTTTATTCCGATTATTCCTGGCACTCACGGAACGCTACTATTATCATCCTATTTCTTACCTGTTCCTCCTCTCCAAGCTTAAACTTCGGCCGTAGTTACCCAAACGCCCCGCACAACCGTTAATCCTTCATTTTGGCTGGTCCTCAGTCCACTCCCATACGGTCCTTCAACTGACTAGAGGTCATACGTGACTCTGCATTGAATCGATTCCATCTGTGTTCATTTTCTCGTTGAACCCTGATCCAGCTACCACGAAAGTGCATATCCCCTCTCCCATTGCGCCAACCTTGGCGACCGGTATGGGGCTGTTCGTAAACCGGAATATGCCAGTGCAACGATGGCATGGTGCTGCCATGCTGGCACCCAAGCAACTATTTTCTTCATAAGATGGACCGCGACCTCTCGCTCACTCGTGCCTGTGATTGCAACTGAGAACAAATTTTTCACCACCCCTGACTTGGGTAAGTTCGTTCTGACCTGCTGAACTTTTCTTTCGGATTTAACCTATCTGATTTTCCGCTGCAATTTGGGTTTGTTTCTTCTACAAGTTAAATTTCATATACGGTATTCTTTTGGCCCAATGCAGTACTTTCTCCCCATCGAAACTTTCCTTTACACCTGATTTCCCTACAACAGCGACATTAGTGAGTCGACTTAGTTTAATGCGGACCATATTTTTGAGATGAAACTTGCCTGTATCTCCATTGCGAATTGTTTCATCCCCATATGCAATTTTGCTTTATGACACCCTGAACATTTACTCAGCCGCCCAAGGTCACCCATGGTCAGCAATGGCTTCAGTCTTAGTTCAAGCCAGCCGGTTTCATCTTTGAACTAGTTGTACCTCATGCCCATTGCCCAGGTGATTTTTCGGTTTACACAACTGCGGTGACTTTTCACGTAATAAGTATGCCTCGTTGATTGTACCTTCCTTCACGTTGTGTTGTCACCCACCCCGTTCATGTTGTAACAACCTGATCATTCCTCAATCGGCATGTTCCCTACAAGGTAAGAAGCAAACCTGTTATAATAATAATAATACTAATAATAATAACAACAATTATTATTATTGACCCTTATCGGTAAACCAGCTAATACCGAGTCAGCTGAATACCAGGATTTGCAGACGCGTTCCTTCGATTCCCATAACTTACCACATAAGACAGCCCGGACGTTATTCTGCAGTGCTTGGTAGCCACAGTGAGAAAAACCAAGAAAACTCATCATAGACGTCAAGGTATCATTTGTTTACGCAACCTACTAAGCCGAAGAGTACTGAATCAGGCGCAGTCACGGCTAAATGTTATGAATCACGGTAAATGCTCCTATTCGTGAATGAAGCTTCAGAAAAAAAAAGCTTTTCGTTCCATTTAAAGCGTAAGCCAAGGTGGTGTATGGGCGTTTCCATTGAGGAAAGGTTCACAGTAACGGCACTCATGCAGTAGAAAAATAATTATGGTTGTCAAGATGAATGTACGGGTGTGTCAATTTACTTCATTTGTTCCGGAGCCCACTTTTTTGAAACCACGAGTAGTTGCTAAAATGAATAAGTTGACGCACTGAGCCACCCCTATGTGGTACTGACAAGTGGCCCAGTTTTGTGCGAGCTAATAGTGCAGCAGCGGCTGACAGGAGCAACCACCGGTTTGGTTCCCGTGTGCTGTTTACTTTCAACAATGTACAGTACGAATTATTTGACGCCTCCGCGCCAGCTCCACCCAGTACGCAAGAGAAACACGTGGGGCTCACGTGTGAAGAATTTGACAATTGTTGAAAATCGAAAGCTGACTCGGTAACTCACCGTCAAGTTTACGTCCATGGAAGTGTTGTTGCGAACGTTTTCGTTCAATTTGTCTGCGCTGGCTATTTTCGCTTCTTCTGACCAAGAATCGCTTGAGTCGACACGCCGGTAAGCGCACTTCACCAAGCATAATGCATATAAGCTTAACAGAGTAAAGAATTCCGGTGCTCTCTGGTCTGAGCAAGGGTTACAAGCTCTATTGCGCTAGGCTAAAAATCTTTTGATGCGCAAACCGCGTTATTCGGAAAGATGAAGAAGTATTTTCTTGGTCGATTGGCTATTGCCATCAAAACTTGGTTACAAGTGGTTAAATAATAAGCATAACGGGACAAATACTCACCTGGTGGCCCTGACCAAAACATCGGTCAAACAGCGGCCCACTCATCAAAGGCCGATGAGAATAAGTCGTCTGGTTCAAGCAAGGCGTGGACGGCTCCATATCACCCTTGTTATCACATGCTGACAGTTTACTTGCTAGTGTTGACATTGTAGTCGTCCGGCTGCCTTAAAAGCTACTTTTCCAGGAGTGTGCAGCACTCCACATTGGGTATACACTAATTAAGAGGATCACATGAAACAGACCCATTAGGAATTGTTCTGTTTTTAGAATATTGCGTCATTGACCCAGGTCAGCGAATCAATAATAAACCAATAAAAATCTTCCAGGGCTCTTTTTTGAACAAATCTCACGTATTATAAAATTCGAAGATAGTCTGAAATGTTTTGATGCCAGAGTTAGTACGTGAACTTCGAGCGAGAAAAATCAGGGGAAAAATCGGAGCGCGTAACCACGTTTGTCTTCGTATGCCTGTGAAAATGCGAATTTTTGATAATTTGTGCGTATTTAGACAAAAACATTCGTAAAATTATGTGAAAAACGCAATGTTATGATGGAAGTAAAAGAAAGGTACCAGACACCGCAACCCCCTGGCAGTTGCCCGGGGTGTTAAGTCTGGCATCGTGACACAGGTGCAAGACCTGTTACTTCTTGAACTCCATGCCTAAAATGCATTTTTGTGCACCTACAAATTTGTATCAAAACACCTTCGTCAGCTAGCCCATCGGGTACCGGCCAACCGGATGCAGATGCACTGAGCCGACTTTGTCACCGTCTAAACTCTATACCGCCAAAGACGAAAAGATACAGCATCTTTTGTGCTCGATGTGTCATGGAAGGATCTAATCGCAGCTCACCTCTGGACGCCGGAGACTATTGGGAACAAGTGGTCTCCGCTCCAAGACGCGTGGGAAGCCTGCCAAAATTCGCAGTGCTACTATCCGAATTTAGTTTGATCGAGCCAATCGCAGGTAAATAGGTCAGCCGTACTATCCGTTCATTGAGTAGATAGTCCCCAGATCTAGGAAAGCTTACACCCAGGATGCTCCCTCAGGTCAATGCCAATCTGCTCGTTGAATAACCCAAATTACACTTACAATTTGGGGGTTGTTCTCCTCAGCTGTCTTGCTCGTATTAAATCAGTTCAGCAAATTCAAACTCCAACGTCTTCAGACGAAATGGGATCAATATCTGTGTCATCCACTCTTGTCCGACGCTTTCGTAAGGTGCTTCCTGATCACTGGAACGTAAGTTGCAATGGATCTCACTCCGATTTGTATTTCTACACCAAAACGGTTGTTTCGGAGCAATAACGTTGCTATATGCCCCGATTTGTCACGTTTCAGCAGCTGCTTTAAACCTCAGCTTTGCGTCTGTTGATATCTTGAAAGCGTTCGCTTCAGTTTCGCATGATACAATTGTCAGATCTGCTGAGGCGTTTGGAGAATCAGCACCTTTATGAGGATGCTGTAGCAGTCGTCAATAATTCTGAGGTTCACTGCCACAGAGATGAGAGAGAGAGAAAACCACTCTCACCATTATTGTTCATCATGAAAGTGTATAAGGTACTTGGACTGTCGATGGCGCAACAAAGTTACCATTTTCACGACACCGAAGTGCATGATTTCACCTCATGTGACGACTAGGTCGTGTGTGCAGAAGGTGACAGTTGCCCTAAAAATGCTTGAACCTGGTGGGGCGAGTTGGAAAGAGCTGGTATGAAGATTGCCGCCCAAAAGACGAAAGCAATGATGATTTTTGAGGACCGGAAACATCGGGTGACATCGACCTCATTCGAACCATTTTACTTCACCGAGGAACTCATCACTTCTCTGGGTCCAAGAGCTCCAGCACACATTTGGGAAACCCCTTTTCTCCTAAATGGAAGGAATCTGAAATCACACACAACAGCTGCTAACTTTCTTCATGAAGTGTGTAGTGGTCTGGCTACCAAGAAAGCTGCTTTACCAGGAGTGTGTGACAAAGAATAAAAATAATAGCGCCAGTTTAAGTATACAACAATAAAGAGGTAAGATAGAACGGACTCACCCTGAATGAAACCCGCAGTATTCGTTTAGGTTACTTGCATGCTCCGAGTAGCCAAATGAATGTTTTGCTTTTTATCGCCGTTCTTGAGGTAGAACAAAGCGTAGTTGCGCAGAGTTTTGATGGTCAGTGAAACTATACAGCTAAATACAGCGAAACAAAACCACATTAACCGCGATAAGCGGTCTCTAGTTGCATGGAGAAAAACGCACCGAGTCCATAATTAGCAACCATTACGTTGTTGGCTGATGTGCTCTCTCATCTGTGAGACATGAAATTACAAATTAAACGTATCTAGTACGTGTTATCACATCAGCGTTTGACAGCATCGCTTGCAGTTGTACTCCTCACAAGTCCCGATGGTTCCAGCTCCTTCCACTGTCCCTTCCTGAAAACTTATTATAGGTCACACTTTTGGGGTTTCGTGGGATAGGTATTTGGTTCACAGTCACACTACTCTCGTTTGAACGGTCGTCCTCCTGTTCCAGCCTGGTTATTCCGGTCAGTCCACACCTAAGGGAAGCACTGGACTGGTCACAAAGATCCGTACGTACAAGCCCGTACAAGTTAGCTAGAAGAACATATTATGCAACTGCCCCATTTTCTGCATCTCCTACCAGTGACAATCCGAAGGCTTTCATCAGCATCCTATTCTTGATAGCTCCCTAGTTCGTCAAGTTGGCTATTCCTAACAGCCTCACTATTTAAAGCTGGATTTTCCACTTCTAGACACAAATTTGCTTGTACGAAAGTATCGTTTTTTGACGTTAGCTTTCCGTCATGACTGTGAAACTTTTTTCCACTTCTAGACACAAATTTGCTTGTACGAAAGTATCGTTTTTTGACGTTAGCTTTCCGTCATGACCTGTGAAACTTTGGTCGGTGACTCGAACGCAAGGCTGAAACATGAAACTTCAGCTGGATGAAAAATATTGCTTGTTTGTAAGCGTTTCTTCCCCCGCGTTCTCCCTAGCTTCTCTGATCTCAAGCAATTGTCCTGTTTGTTCCACGTTCAACAGAGGAACGCTCAGACACCAACCTCCAGTTTTTCCAATGATGAGACCAGCCAATGTACAACGAGTCAGACCAAACAGACGGGCTGTCTTGTCTTCCGGAGTTTGGAGCTGAGATGGTGTAGTACACAACAAAACTGCGGTCAGTGTCATATAACAGGTATAACGCATGGAAGAGACTTGACTAACAGGAATACCCGTGTTAGTTGCTGGCACGTTTAGACCTGATACTGGGACAGACATAACATAAAAGAGTTCACAAAATGCTTCTCAGGAGTAGCAGGAAATCAATCATTCTAATTCAACCTTCACTTATTTGTTACGAGCCTGTGACAAGTTTACGAAAATTTGCAGATCGTAAATTGTTATTATTGTTTGACAGTCCTGTCAAATTTGTACTCCAAAATATCCCGAAAGACTGAACGCTAATTCAGTCGTTTGGCGTAGTTAGGGTGTCAGGTAGAAGATGTTCTAGCAAAGATGTGGTCGGATCCCAAACATTTCAGGCATTCGTGCACCCATTTTGTAGTCCGGTTTTGGATAAGAGGAACAAGGCATGTGACATTTAGTTCAGAAATTCAGGCTCTTATCCTACGGACCACACGTTTGTGCAGCTGGTAAATTTGTTAATCCATTGGCAGTTTTGTCCTGTTCGGGGCTAATCAAGTGGAGTTGAACTCCTGGTTCACATCAGTTTTTAGTTTTTCATGGACACAATCTTTACGCTGAACACTCGCAAAACACTCCTGTACAGGTCAAAGTGGTTCTGCTGGTATATTTAGCTGAATCTTGCGTTTATTGTGTCAACCGAGAGACTTGTGTGAATATTTCGTTTTCACCACCTTACTTTGGAGATGGTTGTGTAATTCCAGCCCTGAACTCATTCAAGTAAAAATCTGATTACAACTCAATACGGTTGATTGTGTGAGGAGAGATGGTGAATTTCAATTGTACTTCATCCAGTACGTGAAGTTAATCTGTGCTGAAAAAACCTAGAAACACTGCACAGCCGTTTCATGTTTACCTGGGCTCATCACCAGTGCGTAAGCCACAAAACTCCAGAGAGATTCCAACCCGCGCCCCTCTGGTTGTAGTTGTGAGCATTCAAGTGTTTGGCCAAACGGACGCTCAGCGTTGTTTCCCACATATCTTTCGACCGGCTCCAACCAGATGGAAGTTCTATTTGCCTTGCGAAATTGTTCTTTTTGTGAACTTCTTACCAAAGGTGAAACGTTCATACGGGGGTTTGACAAATTTCAAGTGATGAGCTCGGTTTGGACCAAATACTTTGGAAAGCAGGTAACCTTGTCGCGGAAAATCGGCCACAAAAGCTAGTCTGCCACTGCTAAGGAGCAAGTAATTTGGGGAAACCAGTTATCCATGTCGGCTTTCTCAACCTTTTAACAAGTCACGTTTGTCTATCAAATGTATTTTGTGTTTTGTTAGAATACAAAAGACAACCGCTACATGAATTTAGTTCCAGTCATTACAATGTAGCAACATGGTCGATATTTGTGTGCCTTTCATCTGGAACCTCCTCATACTCAGATTTTCATATGTCGCACCACATGAGTCAAGAGTAATCTATTCTGATTTTGTGCATCTGTCACTTAACGAGTTACAACTTTTCAGTAGGATTGTAAGCGGTATATATGAAACCGAAACTTCCACGTCTGATATAACTACAGTAACACTTATTCAAGTTAATTAACTAGTTTTTGAGAGAGAGAGTGCTTTTCATGTTTAATCGTCTGACGTAAGTTGTTTTAATGAAACTCTGGTCAAACGTATTGGAAAAAATCCACAGAAATACCAGAACAATAGCACACGGTGTAGAGTGATTTTGTGAAATGACTAGAATATCTGTTATCTAGTTTCTGATACAATCAGTTTACTGAATTTGTTTAGAACATTGGTGGCAGAGAAGCCACCAAAAGCCAGCTTGTCAGATCATTAAACTAAAGAGACGATCATGCTGAAGAACTGCAGCACAACTAACTGCACAAGTTGGTGTCAGACGGTGCAACAGTTCATCAAACATCCAAGTAGAAATTGAACTCCATGTCTCTCCGGAGACGTGTCGGCAGACGGTTCAATGTGTGTTCAACGATTTTCCCATCTTTTAGTCACTGGAATTGGTAACCTTTATACTGCCGATTTTCTCGGCTAACATTTACACAGATCTTTAGGTTAGAGTATTGATTTGATAGTCGAAAGTATATATAATATGAACTTCTCCGTGGTGATGTTCGAAGCAAAATCTATGACCACAGGTTGGTAAACTTTGCACATGTCCTCAAGACTCTGGAAATGGCATCAGCTTAAAATGACTTCAGCCAAATAGAGGCCGGATGGAAATCAGTCAGCATTTTGGATCTTCCGAATGTGTTATTCTTTGGTTAATTATTCGGAGTGAGCTATAGCCTTATTGACAGCAAGATAACGCGCAGTGAAACTAAAGCAGAGGCTTACTTAGACTTGTCTGTGAATCAACGAAACCACCTCAATTGTCGTGAGGTGAATAAATCGAATCAGTCAATTTAACGAAAGCCCACTGGATGACTGGTTTGGTTGCTTGCGTAGATGAGTATGGTGGATGCGTTTAGTGGTGCGTTTGAAAGAATGTCTGCTAAGTCGGGGTTGATCAGTTGACCGTAAATGAGTCGCATAAGTTTCGGATGTCGACGACTTTATAATAGAAGACGTTTTCAATGTCTGAGTGATCCTGGCGAGCAGCTGCGTTATTCATCTGGTGGTAGTTGATGTGCGTTTTTAGGGAACTTTCATGATAGTCACCCAAGATCATGAGAATTCGACCGAAAATTTATGATCAGTTTCGGAAATATTTGGTAAACAATTGGTGGGTTTATTGGCGGTTATTGTTTCGCGTTTCCTAGCTTCGTCTAGCTTAACAGATTCAGCGTATCAGCTGGCTGGGCAAAACCACGTAGTGTAATATGATTACGCCGAGAAAATGTTCACCCATGCTACCGGCTGCAGACCAGCAGTTCCATGTGGTCGCATCTGTCATGACATGTTTGGTAATTTTGCCCTACAAATCTTGATAGCAGAGTTCGTGCCAGCTGACGAACATCGGTCGCATTGGCAATACAACAGTTGTTCTGCGTTTGCGCACCGACAGCAGCTGGACAGATGTGCGCCCAGACGGTTTATAGTGTCCTGAATTCCGCTCGAACAACAAGTCGAGCTGCTACTACACGGACTGGCTGAAGCTTTGGCCAGTCAACATCGACCCAAAATAGATGACATGTTGGTCAACAGATAGTGAACATGCGTACGTGTGACTGTTGTCGCAAGCACGAGTGTCACTCTTCGCAAGTTAATGTTATTGTGTGACTTATCAGTCGGGTATGAATGAAGTGTGTTGCAGTTAAAAGTTGATGAGTGCTCAGTTTGGAAAAACAGCCGTGTGTAGTTACGGTTTTCAACACACCATGTTGTTATCACTCTGACTGTACTAATGTGGTTACAAAGATGAGTTGTCGTACCGTTTCAGGCACTGATACCAAAAAACTCTGCTTTACATGTAGTTGGCTTAGGTACACATATGCAACATATCGAGACATGCGCGTCAGCAGCATTGATTCAACCAGTTCGATCAGTTTTCAAAATTATTACAGTGGTTGGTCCCATGATTAGCATTCAAAAATATTACAACAGCAGCGAGAATATTAGCTCGCGTCTTTTTCCGTAAAAACAGCGATTTGACAGAGGTGGGAGGTGTCTGTAAGCAAATCAACTGGAATTCGCTGCAATCTAGTCTTTGATTTCTAATGAGGGGAATATGCTAGAAAGGTGCCTAACGGTCGCCCAGATGGCAGGTATTTTGCAGAAGAACTGTTGCGTTCAGGAGTCACGCAGGTTAATGCAGTGGATATTTGGACGCGTATCGCTTGACCATCTAAAAATTGTAGATTTCTAGGGAGTGCTTCAGTAGCACAGAGCAAATGACATCAACAGATAGATCCCACAGCAAAGTTGCAAGAAAATCAAGTGGGTTAAATCCAGACGATCCTAAAGAACAAGGAATACCCTTATTTAGACCGCCATAAGAGAGAGTGCTGTTTGCAAGAAAGTTACACAGATTGTTGTGGGGGCGTTCGTTACATCTGGGTAGTCAAAATGATGTGCAAAAATGAGGTGCAAAATTTGAACATCCATAAGGAACGTGTGTTTGCCGTTCGTGTCTTTCCATATCTAAATTGATAAGGACGTATCACAACGAGAGGATGATGTACTGGGCAAAATTATTCCCTTGCTTTTGGTCATATGTGACAAAGGGTGTATAGGTGATGCCGATAAAACCGCACAATGCCAATCTTGTTTACTCCTTAAAACACTCTACAGCACGAGCAGTCAGTGGACTACGAGGTTTCCAAAGCTCCTGAGAACATAGGAGTAGAAGGTAAAAAAATTGATTTCAGTTGTAGAATTTTGTTCATATTCACATCACTCAAATCCCGGCATGACCATTAGATATGCACTGCTGATGAGCTCTAATAAGAGCGAAACTAGAGTTCAATGCTACCCTTTGGTGTGAACTCACCAGAATGAATACGCTAGAACGGGAGGACGACTGTTCAAACGAGAGGGGTGTGAATAAGAATGAAAAATCTGACTTGAAAGTCGCATGTCATAGGACAGCAGTTAACTTTACTCAGTCTTCTGATTTGCAGCTCATCAAGGACACGCTAAGGGCGGGAGTATTATCTTCTCACATGCAGGAAGATGTGGATATCAGAACCACATGGTGCACCAATACGGAAATTTGAGCCTAGTTGTTCATTTATGAAAAGAACCTCGTAGGGTTTCATGCGAATACGCTCGAATCAGTGAATCTTAAAACACACTGTCAAACGAATGTGCACTGAACGAACCGATTCGACTAAGTGTTCGCCAAAACGACGAAGGTTATCCAGCATGAAGCTGTGCCTACTGTCGCTGATCTGTGCCGAGACTTATTATTTAGCTGAATTGTCGGCTGCGGAGATTAGCACAAATGACGCGCACGTATGTGACCTGGCACAACAACAACTAGGTAAGCTGGCACACACCTCTAATTATAGAGAGAACTAAGCTTTCTGGTCGGATCAACATGTGTCGTGTGAATTCGAGGCTTCGGCTTGTGTCCGATAGCGAGACCGGTAGGCCGTAACCATTGACTGAGGTAGCTCTGAGTCAGCATTTATATGTATGTTCAACAGCTGAAACGCCTACAACTCAAGGAGTTGATATCAATTCAAGGTAAGGTTTACGTCGTTCCTGTACCGTGATTTTCGAAAATTCCCAATAAAATCTCATTGTAGCACTAGCTTTTGAATAGTCTGCGGATTTTCAAAACCATAAGTGAAGAATAGTTCAGTAACCTTCGTCAACAATGCATCAGTTAGCGTATTGTTGTGTTACTTTTCCTATCGGTTCATCCGATGAATAGATTACTTAGTGGTTGTTGTCACCAAAGAACTCAGCTGTATTTCCTAGAATTGTGGTGTCTCAGTTTGCATACCTGGCACACTGGCTTGACCGTCACACAAGCAGTACGTGCTGGGCCGTCCAGTGTGAAGACAGAAGTGTACCGATCTGACTTACAGACAGGTGTTGTCGGGCCATTGTGCATTTTGGCCTAATTGATGATTCCTCGAGCTAGCGAGCGTACCGGTGCTGCACTATTCTCATTTTTGTGTATCCGGAGAAAAGCAGTCATTTGAACCGCATTTATTTTGATAGCAGTTGATGATGTGAATTGCCGACTGACGGCTTTTTGAATTTGGACCAATCTATTTGGTTTGTGTCAACCACCAATAGCAAATTGTCGGTAGTTGAAGTCATTTGCCAGCTGTAGCAAGCAGTTCAAGATTTATAGCTTTTCCCCCTCCAGCTGATTTACGGGCACTTGTGCGGCAAGATATGCAGCAAGGTAAGTCCCTTCCCAGAGCAAAGCTGCTAGCCAGATGCAAGTAAAACCGAATAAAAACGTTTCGTTTCTCTACTGCTTAGTCCAAATCTGTCTAGTCAAGAAAGTGTTAGTTCAGATGCGTTGGAAAAGGCGGTAAGCCAGTTGGTGTTCCATTCTCTGGACAGGTTCATCATCCTAACATCCTAACGGCTGGCGCATGTCAGTCTAAAATTCGGCTCAAATCGCTATGTAGTAGCTGGGCGTGAACTCGTATCCTTTATGGATGAGCGACATTCGGTTAAGAGGACTGAAGGCACTCTACTCTGGTTTCAGTACATTATCGTCCTTTATCTGATGGAACGTACATGACAAATTTTCTGCCGGGTTTGGTGTCCATTTTGAAGTTCGTGGAAAATGGTAGGAAAATGCACTGTCTCATGAATGAAGATGACCTTCTTTTATGGAACGAATGGCAACCTCCTCTGGACTCAAAAAGATCAAGCTTAATGACACTACTTGACGTTGGATTTCCGCGTAAATACTGGAAATTTTTCGTTCATCTTCCTTATGTGAAGTGCAAGTGTTGCCTCCGCTTTCAGTCGGTTAAACTTTCGAGATCGGGGCCTAGTTCATAACTTATATTGTCCATAGTATCGAAAAAACCGTCGACAGCGCACTAGTTGTTTTACCCAGGGTGAAGCTCATTAAGTGGGTGCAAAACCACCGTTGTTCAGTGCTACAAACGTATTGGAACGATAGCGCTGATAGCTCGTTTCGATCGGGATTCCCACTCGCAATGTGCTTTATGAGTATTCGTTATACAATACTGAGTGAATCATTGTCGTTTGCGCTAACTGCTTCTCCGAAGACGAGAGTGGAGTCACATATTTCATTAATGCAGGTGATAAAGATAAAAAGTTATGTGGATAGTGGAATGGCTCATTGAAACTGATAGATGGGCTTCTGGTTAGAGCTGGTTTCGGAGATTGTTTCAATGATAGGCGAAGGACTCAACAATTTTATCTTTTAATTTCATCATCAATGTCTTACATCCCTTGTCAGATGATTTGGAATCCTTTGAAAGTTGTAGCTCAATTTGTTGTAATGCTACACTCATCCTGCACGTATAGCTTCGACGAAATGTCTAAAGAAGTCGGAATAATACACCAGCTAAACATGATATGTGTGGCGTCAGACTGCACACAAGGTGCAGCGAGAAATAAGGGTGTGATCAACATGACTGTCGACGATAGCGTGTCAATATGTTCTTCTCGATAGATTGAAGATTAGCGACATCCCAGGGTAAGTTGAATTGGCGTTGTGTAATGTTGGAGAGTTCTGTTGCAGTATTCTACTCAGATAACAGTGATTATACGGGAATGGCTCACTCAGTTGGTGTCTTGGCTTGGAAAACACAGACCAATGCCTACCTACACTGCAGAGAACCCACATCCATTCAAATATGTCCAGAGTGGAGTTATTCTTGCACTGTTGCATCTATGGCCCCTACATACCAGGTTGGCCATGTTACTGCAGTTAGCTAAAGGAAACTATCTTTCCATTGGATTGCAGTTTTCCTCACTAACTGTTAGAAACTTGGTTCCAAAATATCAGCGAGACTGATAGGACTAGTAAGACTATTTGTGTGCATCAGACGCACACAAGGCACACACATCAACTTGTACACGCAATACGCTGATATGAATGGAATGCTTTCCTTCTCCACTAATTGTGAATCACTTGTAAAGTTTCACGTTTATCGGGCGAAGAGGATAAACTGACACTGTGACATGGGCAGCGCGCTAATTACACGTTCCTTACCAAAAACAAAGGAGCTTGAAAGAGTGACCCTTGACCTCCGCGTCGTCGCCGACTACTTCAGGTCAGAAATATGAACGCAGAGACGGTTTTAAGTGCACACAGTCTGTCATACACAGTCGATCTTGCAAACCAGGCTTAGCTGAAAGCCTCTTGCAACAGTGGCTCGACAAGGAGAAGTAGGGCTTAATCATATTGAACGGTAGCTTGATAAGTTAAATATAAGTATCTTCAGTAAGGAAACTACTCACAAGTTTGCTGAAAACCCTGATATGCATGGCTGGTTCCATACCTACTGGAGCTTAATTAGGCATATTATTCGAGTTCTACTTGAGCCCAAGTTGCATAAAACTCGACAAATACACTCATTTGCATACCAATCCGGTTTTCATGGTTGACTCACTCGAAACTTGACCGAATCTGTCGTCCGTGATTTCAGATGAATCATTCCTCAAAACCAAATATGTATGCAAATGAGTGTAGTTGTTTTTATGCTCTCATTTTGACCAATGGTCTAATGGCTCACTAACTGACCATCGTCTTTCCAGCTGCTTGTGCGATTGGGTGGTCATTTTGGTAACAATACACGACATCTTTTCCCCACATTTGGAGATATGTCACGGTGCAAGATGTAGATACACTGATTCCGTTTTCTGTCTATTCAAGTACAAAACACCCGTTTCCCGGTGTTTTGGGCTACCACCCGTTTGACTTCGTCGCCACGTCGTGGGCCAGCTGATTTCAATGAAATTTAGATGGTGGACATGCACCAGGTTTACAAATCGACTATCGTCAACCCCAAACCAATTCCCGTCACACAGAAACACTAGGGCTGCTCTGTTCACACCTGAACGGTGATAATTTGAAAGAGATAAGGTTAGCCTATCCGAGCTGAAGTAGCAACTTCGAGGATTTGTCCTATTCAGGTGTCTTCAGAGCAAGACATTAAGAGGTAGTTTGCTAATCATTTTTGTGTCACAGTCTGATCAAATTTCGACCAGCGAACGCCCCGCATCTGCAGGGTATCATGTGATCAGCGGGTTCCGGCGACAACTTAGAATCGGGATACAGGCTGATCCCTATGTCCTGTCTGACTTCAAGCGAGTAGTCTTAAATGAGGACGATATCAAATCTTGGTGATGCATTGGAACTTCGAGTGACGCTATATCACTCAAATGTGCGATAAGTGGGCAGGACTCAGCAGTAGATCAGTCAAAGTTCGCGTGGAGCCATCTCACCGGTTTCAGTTCGCAAGCAGTTGATTTAGGGTCATTTGGTCGCGCCTTTGCACCGGTTTGCTTGATGGAACCAGTGATACGAAAGCCATCAGTTCGACAACGGTTGCGTTTGTCATGTTGTGGCTGATTTGGCACCATAGCCACGACTAAAAATCAATAAGGCATCCTGTCTTATCTACTGTTAGCCCCTCGAGGGTCCTCTGAAACTCCCCGATCATTTTGCTGATTCTGTGTTCTGCCGAGCTTATAGGCTAGTGCGGCATCTTCACTATGGGCTTGAAATCCGTGAGAAGCCCGTGGGCTTGATGCCCGGACAGTCATCGAACGGTGTCGTAAGGCGACATACGCTGTCTTCTTGTCCATTCATTCCCAGTGCAGCGTCAAGTGTAAGGCGGCACCCACCTCCAATTCAAAGGTGCGCCGGTAATATCTTAGGCTCAGGCAATAAACATCACTTTATGTCCCGACTCCTGGTCCTCGTGCAGAAGGGCCGATCAACTGATGCTTTACCGGAGGGTGGCGCT